AATATTGCTATAAATGCTAGGAACTCCATTGATTTACAAATATGAGACTGAATATAGTGACATAAGCTAATACATGGATTACTTGCATTCCTTACGTAGCTATATACTCTAATCAGTGAGGGAATTGAAGTCGAGTCCACCAAGTTGTCTGTCTGCTAATTTTACTATACCAAGTGCAATCTATGATGTTGTCTGTCCTATTATCGTCTCCGCTTGCTTCGACAACAGCTGCAATGGCCATGAGTCAGCTGGTGTGGGATACCTAGCATGAGGTTTGCTCACAGTTCTGGGTAAATTAGAAGCTGCATCAGCCTTTTGAAAAGTCTGCAGGTCAGGATTGATTGGAATAACATAAAGTGGGCCAAGAATTGGTTGTTGCTGTGAAGATGGATCAGTGGTCACCAGTGGTGGTAGCTGGCCTTCCATGAAATGTGAAGGCGTTTCTCCATGCCAACATTCAAGAGGGGGGCTTGCGTTCAGGTCAGGCTTAGATTGGCCTAGCTTCTCTTCTACGTCATTTTGCATTTTCCTTATCTGCACTTCAAGTGCAGAATTCTCTTCTTTAAGCTCATTCTTCTCTGCTGTCATCTAGCCAGACAAGAAAGACGTCAGGGAATACTGTTTATGGAAAGAGGGGAAGATCGCAAAGCCAAAGTAGTCATTCAGATATAGTTGCTGAGTCATAGCAAGCATCCAGATAGGTTTTTTCCACTAAAATTAGTATTAACAGCACACAGCAGACATAGATGATATGCATAAACAGTACAACGGCCACATCAAGTACTACCAATCGTTCGGAGAATGTAGCTTTGCAATTTTGGTTAAAGAATGATTTCCTATATGTTATCCCTTATTCCTAAGTTCAGGCAATCAATCTGATACCAACAGGAAAGGCAGAGAAGAGCTATCAGCACTCAAACATTTTAAGTTTCTGCAATCACTTCAAAGTTCAAACAATTGTCTCCCTTTACATAAAAGTATCTGTTTATCCCAGGACTAACAGATGTTAGGATGAGCATATAAGCGAGGTCATTGACTTTCTTGTTTGAAATTACATCACATTTTGAAAAAAAGTTTAAACCAGATATAAAAAAGTGGATGCATCATATACAAATCCATTTCAAGCATCAAAGATAAAGGCCAGAATCATTGCTAAAATAGCATGCCTAATATCATGATCTTCAACCCTAGCAAATATTAAGCACAATGGGTAGAGGTTGAAGAGCTTACATATTGAGACTCTGACAGCAGAGTTGCATTCTCCTTTCTGAGGCTTTGAATATGAGAAACCATATATTTCATGAGCTTAATTGTCTCGTTCAGTACACAGGCTTTCCCGTTGTTCTCTTGGTTTAAATCTGCATGGATTTTTAAGAATGAGTCTTAAACCTAAAGTATAACAGGACTAATATCTATGTTGATGAGTCCAACAAAGCCAGAAAGTGAAATTACCAAGAACACCAGCCAGTTTATCGAAAAGCACATTTAGTTGTTCACGCTTCAATCTTTCTCTCTCTGCTTTCATAATTTTTTTTGGTAATTTACCGCGCTTTCTTTTTTTGGAGTGAGGACTGCAAATAAAACAACCACTTTTAAGTAAAAACATGCTTTAATCACAAATGAAATTCCCATACAACTCAAATAAATTGAAATGGATAGGAGGTAGGAGCTTGTTCATAAACCATGCAAACTCAAGCATAATCAAGCCTTCTAATCTGGTTTTAATTAAGGTAATTCATAAGCCAAGCAAACTTGGAAAGAATATTGAAGTCTCAATTTTCGTGATAATAACTCTTCTCTCTATTAAGTTTTCCATTGTAATTGTTACATATTGTATACATGCTCCACCATCTATTTTATCTTCCTGATTACATGTCTACCTTTCCTGTTCTCTAAAAACATCGCATTATTCACGCACCGTTTGCACTTGAACAGAACAAGACTACCCAATCTCAGTTTTAATTAGTAAGTGGCAATGATATCTAGTATGAGCTGGGCATTTAGTCCCCCAAAAGACAAATCTTTCATGAAATGAACCACTACATAATACTAAAAAAAACCCATGATGTTATAGCAATCCAGGAAACATAGTTGTAAACTTGTAAAGCTCATACAAAGATAAGTACGACCCTCTTTTTCGCCCGAAATATAAAAGAAATGGTAAAAACTACTCTGTATTATGCACAATCAATAACCATATAATCAACAAAAACATAATACTGCAAAATATTTTCTACCATACTATCATAAGCTCAATCAGATTACTTACTCATCCACTACATCCTCCGGAACATCGCTTTCCTCATTAACAACGGGATCATCGATAACATCCGAGCCCATTTGTTTCTAGTCACCAATTACCAACCTTCCCCTTTAGTTTTAGGGTTTGCTGAAAGTTTTCTACCCTGAGAAACAAAACCAATTTCAACCCAAATTTCAAATTTAGTCAATAAAGATTCAATTGATCAAAATATAATCTTTATCAATATCTGGCTTCAATTCCATGTACTAAAAGCTTGAAGTAGCAATTACCAAAAATTTGAACATACAACCAAATAATCACGCAGTATAATTTAGCATAATCTTGCAACTTCAGTTAAGAAACGCATCAAAAATTTGCAAATTTTTGATGGTCAATCAACACAGCTCAATTAATCCGAACTACAATTTTAAAAACTAGACAAATCCAAGAAAAATAAACACATAAACATCAAATTATATACTCTATTCGTAATTAATTGCTTTCCAATCATTCAATTCAAACATAAAATCCCTCAATTACCCACAAATTAAACAATAACACCACGAGAATAAAAATCAAATCACCAGAATAAAACTAAAAAAAAATCCAATCTTTGAACATAAAAAATCAAAACCCAATTCAAATACCCAACAAATTTGCAAACCCAGCTAGTTAAAATTCAAATTTACCTTGAATTCAATTTCAACAAAGAACAAGCAACCAATTGGTGGGGTTGATCTTTTCTTGCTCCTCCAAAAATGAAATTGAAGGGGGATTAAATTGTAGGAATTGTGTAGAAGTGCATCAACTTTTTTATTGTTTAATTTTGGGGAAGTTTGATGGGAAATAAATTTCCAAATTATAAAAGGAAATACTAAAATTTGTGATTGCATAGTTCCACGTGAAATTGGGCAACCTCCCACTAGTAGAATGTAATACGCCAAACACACGCCTTGGTCATGCATAATGCCTGAAATCCAACGTGTAATTTCAACACCACGCAATCCACCATTTTAAAAGTGTGCTTGTCATATTTCGTGTGTTCTCCATAAGTCTTAGAAAAGGACAACTTTTGTCACAAATTTTTATTCACCTCAAAAGGTTTCCAATTCTAAAATTGTTTGGTGGATAGAGCAATAATAATATTATACGAAACAAATATTTTATTTGGTAGTTTTCTTAAAATGTTATTTGTTGATGAAAAAAAAAAAAACTGCCTCATTTGACTTTTTACGGTTTTTAAGACGCGTCTTAAAATGTAAATAACTCTATTTTTATATGCGTAAAAATTATAATAATTTGATATTAATAAAATATACAACGAGATAAATCCAACAAAGCCCCACTCGACTATATTATCTCATATAGAATTATGAAAATTTACGGTCAAATTTTTTAAAGTTTGACACAATTATTTGCAATGGTGCAAAAAAAAAAAAAAAAAAAATAGGAACAATGGGAGTATATCATATGGAAAAATAGTTACAAGTATAATTTTCTAGGTAAGTTGATTTTTTTATAGTGGTTCTTGCTAGACACAATGTGGTTGATAAAGGTAAAAAAATAAAAATAAATAAATAAATAAAATTAAAGTATAAATTTTTAAAGTCAACCAAAAAGAAAATACTTAAATTATGCATGGCGCAAATTATTTAGCAATTTAAAATTTTATTATATTTTATAAATATCAAGTTTGAGATATTTAATTTGTTAGTGTAATGACATGATCAACCTTATTTTGGATCATAATACTTCAATTTGTATGTAATATGAGTGCTACTTTGGAGCTTAAAAATATTATATTTATATAGTGAGGCATTAGTAACATGAAAAGATTTTGGATTGTCAAATAGAAATGATGCCTTGTCATTAACCATAGATTAAATAAAAAAGTATAGGGCTTTAAGGTGTTATTTCGTATTTGTCTAGTCAACGTTTTGAAATATAAAGTTAACATGGTTTTTTGTGCATGTATACATATAAATTGAGGGTATATGTTGAAGTATAAACTTTTCAAACAACACATGTAAGTGTCTCATGTTGAGAAAGGACGAGAAAGTTAAACACTTTATACGACTAATAATCTCCTTATTGGTTTTTTGGTGATGTCTAAGGCTCTCCTAGTTTGTGGCCTGAAAGTAAAACAAATAATACTAGTAGTATTAAATTTGCACAACACTGGATACAAACAAGATGCATGCATTCCTTAACAAGAGAGCATTGGCCTAAAATTCTTTGGTACAAGTCTAGTAATTTTGGGGCCATGATGCTCATGTCCAAATCAATGGGTCGAACCGTCGAATATAAAGTTTAAAGCATGATGCTCAGCCCAACTCAATGGGCCAAATCTAAAGTTTTTGAAATATGTCGAACCAAACTTATACAATTGTATTAAGAGTGCTAAAATGTACCCATTCTAATGCATGAGGTATGTACTAGGAGACTAGGATTATATAGTATTAAGAGTATGAAGGATTGTAGTTGAAAATTGGAAAAATAGCATTTTTTTTTTTTTTTTTGACAGAAAAAAAATATAGCATTTCTTGTTTATGCATAGATATGTTACAACTTACAAACCTAAGCAGTTATATTCTAATAGAGATTTTGAACATGATCAAACCTGTACAAAATTATCGCGATTTCAAATCACTACTAGTGCCCAATAATGTACACCAAATTAAACTTGTGTACTCCATAGGTATTGAAATTATATGAAGGCGCGCACGAGATCATTGTACAAGGATTATTAACAAACATATGATAATGGAACATTAAAAGTGGTTGCTCTTACATTTAACCCTTCATATGCCCGTTCGAAAACATTAGTCATCTACATACAAGAAAGTTCAGTGCCACAAGATCAAAAACATGTTCATGTAATGCATGCTTATAAGGTTATTACTTCGTATAAACTAAAGATGATCACTCGTCCTCTTTTTTTTTCCTCCTTTATCAAATGAGGATTTTCATTATTAGTCACGATCTCTAGTTAGTTAGTCACGAACAATCACCTAGGAAGTGATGGAATAGCTTATGAGTCCAAATCTTTGATTTCTTCCTCCCCTTCGATGTCTTCGTACAATAGATCTTGATATGGACTCCATTTGTTTCCCTAATTGCTTCTTTCATCTACAAGTACCTGCAGTATAAGATATCGATATTTACAATCACAAAATAATCAAAATATGTTGCAAAAATAAAAACTAATTATTCTTGTATATTCAAAGTAGTATAAAATTATTCAAAGTTAATAATGCGTCCAAAAATTATTCAAAGTTAAGATATCGATATGGACTATGCGTGTGTTACAAAAGTTAATAATGCGTCCAAAAATTTGAAGCAATATGTTCTATTATTCAAAGTAGTATAAAATTATTTTTCACTAATACTCACTTTTAATCTAATAAAGATCATCTTTACTAGGTGACTAATAACCACACATGAGAAAACAATCATAAAAAAATGAATATTTTTAGCCCTAGTGACCTCTCAAGATAAATTTGCCACCCTAACACCATCAAAATGAAAGGATTTGGTTAAGTTTATCCATCAATCTGGTGAGTTCTTTCCACCTAAAATCCCAACCTATCCAAATTTACTAGTTTCATTATAACTTATCTGAATTTTTTTTTTTGGAATAATCTTTTAATATATAAAAACAAACATAGAAACGCGAAAAGGGCCTATCTACTTGAAGCAAATGTACAAGAATGAAGATAAGTTGGAGTCAAACCTCATTTCTTTCTTAGGCTGATCATAAGACTCAGAATCCAAAAGCCAGTGAGGAGCAGTAAAATTTTGAGTTGACTGAGTAAAATTAGTAGAGTCAGATTGAGGAGACATAAAAGGGTAAAAAGTGGTGGGTTGATAAGAATGAGCTTGAGCTTTTTGACCCATAATATAAGGATAAGTTGCAGCTATATCATTATCAGATGGAGAAATTGAGCAAGAAATTGCAGGGGAATTTGGGATGCAAGTTTTTAGATTAATTTTGGGTGATGATGTTGAAAAACTTGGATCATTTGTTGATGATTTTGGTGTTGTATTGGAAAAAACTTGTTGAACTTGTTTCTTAGTTTTGTTCTTTCCTCTATGCATGTGCTTCTCACAGTACTTTGAATCTGAGCATGCTTCTTTTGAACACCTCCATTTTTTACCATCTGTTCTTCTACATCTTCCTGGCTCTGGGTCTATTTTTCTTCCATATCCCATTTGAAAACAACCCCATCCAACTGCATGCCACAAAGATTTCAACAAATTAAATGGGTTAAGCGAATTGAATAATGCTACCGGCTGTTTAATCCCCATGGGGAAACTAAATTGTGCATCTAGGTGGGTGGAATGGAGTGCGTATACCCACCAGTGCATAGATTTCAGTAACCGACGTAATATATGTATGTGCTGCACACACTGATAGATGCACGTTATCCTATCTTCTATCCATCCACCCATACAATAATTTCATAAGAATTCAATGAACAATTGAAGATAAGGTTTGACTGGATTAAATTTTGATCTCTAATATTGAACCCAATTGTATATACTTCAATATTGGCCATAATCGACATAAAATAGTGTATGTACCACAAGAGTAGTGAAATGACACAACAATGTTGGCCTAGGCCAAGGCATGACCCTTGATTGTCTCCATAACCCTTCACAATTGAACAACAACTAACATTGAGCCCACCACCAATAAACGTTGACCCAAATCATAAACATATAAACCAAAACATTAAAAACATAAACTAGAATATGTTTAGCCTAATTAGGGTTGGTGACAATGATTTTTAAGTGAAGCGATACTTCCTATTTTTAGCCCCAACATCAACTAAACCAATATATTGTGTCTAACCACGTCTATAAGAAACATAAATAACCAACGAGCTTATTTAACCTCAAAATATATTTACACACATCAAACTCAGTCATCTCAAATAATATAAAAGTCGCCAAATACTATATTATCTATGAAATATGGGATGACAAATGTAGTATAAAAACATACATGCACCCGTTATATACCAGACCTATTATCGAAACAACAAGATTAGATGCAGAGAATAAAAGGGTAAGAAAAAAGCTAGCTTACATGGAATAGATTGTTGATTAGGGAAGAGGGCAGAAGAAGAGGAAGTAAATGGGTTTCTGATAACAGCAGAGAAGAGTTCAGGTGGGACAGGAATTCCTGACAATATATAATTGAAAGTAAGAAGTTGCTGCTCTAATTCTTGCCATTGACTTGCCGTGAAAGGGAAATGAGATTTATGGTTATTTCTTCCAGATATCATCATCTTTTCTTTTTTTCTAAAGGAGAGAGAATTTTATACACTAGTTTAGTTTGAACTTTGAAGATATATAGTCTTATTTTTGAGAGAAGCATATAAATAGTGGGACTGAATGAATTCTGAAAGTTCTTTTTTATCAGTGGAATTTTTGCAGAAAGTATTATTTGGTTTCTTCTTTTTCTTTTTTATCTTTTTTTTTTGCATAAATTATTTTTGTGAAAATGATGAATTGTTATGAAGATGTATGTAATAATAATAATAATAATAATATTTGACGTTACTAGTACAATGTAGCTGGCTGGCTGGCTGCGTACTACTAGACCTCAGAAATATAAGATGTCTGCATTCTGCAGTCTGTTCCTTTTATTTATGATGATTTTTTTTCATGTACCATTATTAGGTTTAGTGGCAAGGGAGGAATTATAAAATTATTTTTGAAGAGGCTAAAATATTTATTAAATGTTTCGTGTAGATAAAGAGGTAAATTTAATTCATGCTTCACTATTAAGGTAAAAATTACTCCGTATTTAATTAAAACAATAAAACAATTCATTCATACTAAGAGGTGTCGTGGTTCTTGTCTGCTCGTGAGGTGGTGATGTGTTCCGCTCCTTACCCTTATTATCTAGTGATTAACAAACCAATTTTAGATATGGACAAGTATATATGAAGGGCATTTTGGATATTTCCACTTTAAGACGAGGTCTTTACGACTCGTTATTGTCCCTTTTATCCATGTAAATATATCTTTACAGCACGTATGAAAATCGTTACCCTAACTAGCTAGACCTAGAAGCCTCTGGTACCTCAACAATTTATTCCCTTCACTTTTTATTCATAATTTTTATTTTTATGTTCCAATACTTATCCTCTCCTCCCCTATCTTGTCTTCTAAAATTGCTTTTCTCAAATGTACAGAAAGTACGACGTTTACATACGTTATTGTGCAAATTAAATGAAAGGAGGCAACAAGCAAAACTATAAAAACAATCTATAATAACACTTATATATACAAGTATATAGATCTAGATTGATGATGGTTTTATGATAACATTACACACATAACTTTGAATTAAATGATAGTACGTAGAATTGAATTATATTATTGACATATACGCAGTATATATAAACTAGAATCAAATAAGTTCAATGGTTTTAAAATAATACAACCAGTAAATAAACCTACCATATCAAATTAATAAATTATGCATGCTACCACAGTACCACTTGTAACATAGATGATGGACCTTGTACGTTATCTAGGATGATACAAAGTACTTAGTTTCCATAATAGAGGTCAGCTACTCCATACAACAATACTGAACCACGTAGTTTGATCATTTGATCACTTACATTCAATCACCATCGATCACTTAATATAAGTAATGACATACGAGTTTATAGCTGTTTTTCCGAACATTAAATATATCTTACGTAATTATTAATTTCAAACACAAAATGTTTAAGACAACTTAGTGACACAAATAAAAATGTTAGGTTACATACAATAATAAACACATGCAGAATATATGAATGGATGGAGAAAGGAGGACAATAGTTGGTGTGAGAAAAATCACTTTCACGTAAGAAGAAGAAAAGGAACAAAAGCAGGACTGTAGAATTGCATGGGACTACTTAGAAAAGGGTGCCCTTTCTGATAATGATATGTTTGTTTCAGGAAAAATAACACCAGAGATTATTATTCATTATTGGTACATTTTCTTTCTTTCTTGCTTACTTCTTCCCAATCTCATTATACCACTCTTACACTTGGAAGATAGAGCATATACCACACTGACTCACCCCCATTATAATTGTCGCTACGTGTCCACCCCCAGTTGTGAGATGTAAAGGCTTCGCCTGCCCAGGTGGCAAATTCGTCATTTAAGTTCAGTTCAGATCATCAAATTCAGTATACATCAAACAAAATGACATAAAAAATATATTTTCTTATTATTTTGGGTTTGAAGTGTGGATACAACTTGAATTTCCTCATATTTTATGTTAATTTTTCATTTTGGACGAAAGTGAGGAGTGGATGAGAATCAAACACATGACATAATTATGATTTTGTTCATGTTAAGGATTAAGTTAATCAAAATCTTTAAAATCTGAGTGTCGAGATTGGTTTTATACTCTATCACAACTTTTATAGCACCGCCTTAAGACTTTACCTAGCTAAGGAGCTAAGGTTAGTCCTTGGTAGTACTACTTGGTTAGTTGGTTACCACTTTGATATAGCAAAACAATGGATACTTTCGCATCTTATCTAACTTTGCATTTCCTTCTGCAATCTCTTTAGATTCGATGCTCTGCCATCACTAATTTAAAATAAGAAAAAACAACATGCAAAAATAATAAAAATAGTTGCTGTTTACCAATGAATATGATTGAGCTAGTAATATAAAATCACTTCTAATCAAAACATAGCCAAAAATTAAGAGGTTGAAATGAAATGCAAAGTTAAAGTAATACCAAAAAAAATCGTACACAACATTATACTGAATTGTACAATATGACACGATACTACCATGTATGTTTTGTCACCGCATGTTTATGTCGGTAGATGGCTTAATATTCATTTCAATACACTTTTGCATTGGGAAAGTAAGTTCGATATTATTCACATATTGGATATGTGATTGAGAGTAATTGTGAATATCTGTAAAATGAATTATGTTTTGGTTCATCTGTAATTAGGTTTGGTTTAATTAATTATTGTCATAAAAGAATTTTTATTCAAGATGTATGCATATAATAGTTATTTTCATAGTTGTCAGGAACGGGATCATACTCTGGATTTTAAAGAGGCGATAGTATCGCATCGGTAAAATTGGATCGTAGGATTGTAAGATTCCACAAAAACTTGTAAAAGGGGTGATAAAGACAATAATAATACTTTTTACATGTGATTCAGAGTAAAATTGATGCTAAAACCAATAATTTTGCAAAAATTAACCATAATTAAGATAATACAACCCAAAAAATAATTTAGAATACTAAATATCTAAAAATCTAGTGCATCGTACAATCCTACGTGATCCTATTCGATCCTACCATAAATTAGGCTAAAATTCCTCACCATTTAGTTGATTTGTACGATCGGGTAGGATTGATGGGATCGTATAATCCTACCCGATCCTACTACGATCCCACCTTAATTGTGATTTTGCTAACGATCCGCGTCGTTTGGTAACAATTGGATCGTAGGATTGTATTTCGTAAAAGCTGTGTGAATTATCCACATAATCGAATAAGAATCAAGCTTAGAAAAAGACTATAAGGTGATATTTGCGTTGTGTAAGGATATACTTCCTCTATTTCTTTATATAGTTGCAACACTTCTTATTTCACACTTGTCGATGCATGATTACAATCGTTAATATCTATAATTACCAATATAAAAAATTATAAATATTTGATATTAAAATAATACAAATCGAGACGAATCTAACAAAATTCCACATGACTATATATTTTTGCATATTTATAAATCATCAAATCTAGTCAAATTAGAATACATGAATAGTGTAAAAGTTAAACTGTTGTATACAACTATAAAAAAAACGGAGGAAGTATTAGAATTTCTTATATTTGCAAGATGTTTTTGAAACACAGGAAAAGGTTGAAACACAGGAAAAGGTGTTAAATATTTAAATATACTCAAAGTTGCATGTGGTTCAATTCTTTGGTATTTCTTACAATTCTAGTTTTGTTAAATATCGCCCTCAAATCTCCAGGTAATGCCCGTAAAATAAAACTAAATTTACGAACTTACCCTTATATATAAACAAAAACTACCATCTCCAATTTAACCACTTTCACCGTCACCCACTTCACTCCACTCCAACAACTTTCACCACCGGTCAACCACCATCACCGCCTCCCTTTACATACATATCACCACCACCTACACTACAAAAACATCTCAAAAGTGTAGATCTACGCATCACCATCTCACGAAAATGCTGAGGAAGGAGAAGGGGAGGAATGTCAACGCGTCAAAAGGATTTTTTTTATTTTTTTATTTTCTAAAACGGGTAGAAACGCCCAATTTTTTCGAAATCTCTAGGTGAAAACGCCCAAAAATTTCGGATCTTCGATGGAAGTTCGTAATTTCTAGGTGTTTAATGTAAACGCCTAGAAATTACCAACTTTCATCGAAGATTCTGGCTGGTTGTGCGAAATAAATGGGTGTTTTGCAGCCAGATTAGTTACGAGAGCCTCATGACATTCATGAGGATAATCTTTAAGCCAGATACGCATTTCCTCATGATTACTACTCAACTTAGCTAAAAAATGAGCTACTTGGTTTCCAGTTCTTTTGACAATTGAGAAGCTAACACTTGAGCAGCAAAAAAGCAAGTGAAGAACATCTGCTATAATAGTACCAAACGTCACTAATCCTTCTTTCCATTGTTAGTAGTAATAATATTATTATTAATATTATTGTTTTTGTTAGTATTGTCATTATTATTTATTATTGTTAGTATTATTAATATTATTGATTTTGCAAAATTGGAATTATTTGGTCGATTTTGTAAGTTACGGTGGTTGGTGGTTAATCGGTGGTCGTTGATGGTTGGTGTCTGGTGACCACTAGAGACTAGAGAGGAAAGTCAAAATATTTGTGGAGAGTGAAAGTGGGAAGTTGAGGTAAATTTGGTTAGTTTTATTACAAGGGTAGGAACGTATTTTTTTTTAGATATAAATGTGGGCGTTACCTAGAGATTCGAGGGCGACGTTTAGCATTCCACTAAATATTTCGAGTTAATATACTATTTTTAATGGTAAGGAGAAGTGTATTTCTTAACATCTTAGCACCCGATAATAAATGCCCCCTCCCTTCTTGCTTTTAATTTAGAGTTGGAATTCGAGCCGGGCAACGCCGCCATGGGTCGTGCCACCTTGGGCCGAAGGAAAGGTCGTGCCACCTCGGGCTGGAGGAAGGGTCGGGCCGTGCCGTGCCGTGTTGGGACGAGGTGAAAGCGGGCCATGCCAGGCGTTCAAATTACACACCCTAACCCACGGGACGGTACGACTCACGTGCTTGGCGCGCCGAGATGTGGGCCAATCCTTTATTTTTATTATTACTAAATAATTTTATTATTAATTAATTAATTTTAATATTTTTATTATTTTTATTTATATTATATTTATATTATTTATAGTTCTTTATATTATTATGGTTCTTTTTATTATTTTTATTATTAATCTATTATATTTATTTTTATTTATAGTTTATTACTACGGTCGTGCTGACAAGCAAAAAGTTCGTGCCGTCTGTGGGCTTATGCCGAATTTTATTTTTTTGTTCACGGCATGGCCCACTCCTCGTTCCTCTTGCTGTGCCGGGCCGGGTCACTACCGTGCTGCCTACGGCCCGGCCCATGCCCAGATCTAGTTGCTTTGCTTCGGTAAATTAGTATGTATTCCCATGTGACGTGGTCAAGTTTTACCAAGTATATATTGGGACAAAACATCATGTACAATAAAGTAATAATAGTAATGCACGGCTATTCTAGCTAAGTACTCCAATTGCACGGCTATATTGGATGAATCATGATTGAGTGAATATGACAAATTGAAAAAGTATGGCATTTTAATTACACGAAGCTAGTAGTTTGGTAGGAACTAGCTATTGAGTTAGTTTTACTAGTACTCATAATATATTCGTTGAAATGCAACGATAAATCCTTCATTTATACGAAGTATTTCTACATGCAATAGATACTAAAATGCACATGATCCCTTGTGAAGTTTTAGCGGACGGAAAGAGAAGGCCTTTGCTCTATCTGCTTCTTTCACTTCCCAGGAATGCTCGAAAGACCGAAAAAAAGAAGAGATTGAAGCAGGGTTGTTCACGGGCGAGGTCTCTGGTTCAAGTCCAGGATGGCCCAGCTGCGCCAGGAATCTCAATAGAGGCTATCCCGAGATGCTCCTATTATTAGATATCTACAAGCGACCCTATTTTACACTCTCCCACACTTTCACTATTTGTTGCATTGTCTTGTTATGTATCAAGTTGTTTGTTTCCACTTTAGACCAAGACTTGCCATCTACTAAAGTCTCAAGGTGACCATTGGTCGGGCAGATTTTGGCCAAAAAATTATTGGTCATTTAAGGAGAAGACTAAAATAAATGTGAAAATACACGGAACTATAACATTGTAGTCACAACCTCTCGTAATTAAAACTCGAGAGAGGTGAGAAGTGATGAGTTAGACCAATACATTTTTAATTAAGTAGTTGTGATTGATGAAGCAAATAGGGTGGAAACAACTAATAATTACATATGAATGTTGATATAGATGGACATAATTAATCACATGAATAAATTAAAAAAGCATTAACCATGCATAAAGTTAAAATCTTACAAGTACTCTCTGCTATTCATACTTTTATTGATCTTATAAAGAAGAAAAAGAGAATTAATAGTCTAATCTCTCATAATGACAAAGTATGCTAGATAAGATTAGTAGTATGATAACTAAAGATGTCTCTCATATATACTCCGTACTTTGTATGTGTTGCTATCAAGCATGCAAAATCCTCTGTTCACTTTGATGCCCTATATAACACAAAGTTGAACCAAAAAACAAAACAAAAAAATCATCAATCATATTAACACAATTTGTACGTACATAGCAATAACCAACATAATATGAAATTAACATTATGTAACAGATGGACTCAACCAACGTCAACCCTAGTACTAATTCCAATTGTACTCACTAATCTAGCCATCTAGGTAGTAGCTAGATCAGAAACAATCAAACAATCATTATTTCAACAAATAAATTTGCCGAACATGCTAATACACCATACATGACTCCTATAAGTTCTAGGGATTGTATACTTCGTACAATTTGTATGTAGAGTCAGTAGAGAAGTCAATAATACCTTAAGGCAATGCGTAGTAAAAGAGCACCAATGGCAAAACCAGCTAAACCAACTGACCAATTCGAGAGTGTTTCCGACCAGTCTGTTGCGTTCTCTAACTGAGCAGATAATTCCGCAACCAACTCCTCCTTGCTCTTGGATGTACTACAGTACAAGATCGAAAATAAGCCATTTTGATTTCATTACATTTATTTCTTACTAATATCATAGAAAAAAAAAACGTGGAAAAAGAGTTGAAACTTTGCTTACAGAAAATAAGGAAGTCCTTTATAAGGCTTAATATTTGGAACCCCATTTTCCAAGCTAAAAATGCCAACAGCACTAATAACATCACCCACTGGAAGGATGTTTTCTTCAGTAATCTCATCAACTTGTAGTTTAAAGCCCTGTAACACGCGACAATATAACATATGCGTACATGTATATTGTCGAATAATAATCAAGATACTACCTTCGTTTTTTTAGTTGACACTTTTCTTTTATCAAGTTTGTCAATGTACAATTTTAACGATTAATATCTCTAATTATCAACATGGTAAAAATTATCAACATGGTAAAATTATAAAAAGTGTATAATAAAAGTTACATTGAGATGATTCAGCCATCTCACATGACTATATTTTATCGTAGTTATAAATCATAAAAAGCCGGTCAAAGTGTGTCAACTAAAAAAAACGGAGGAAGTACTATATTATAGAATTATGAATATAGTTATTTAGATTAATTTGATGATGAAAAATAATTATGTAACATTGGTACAACTACTTACATTATTGTCACTGTGAGTAAAAATTTCTCTCTTATCAGAAGAGACTTTTTGTAGAGGAATTTGAACATCGGTATCCTCTAAGTTGATCACGACGTATTTGCTGCTTAGTATTGATATAGTGTGATTTGTGTTCTCTGCAATGATGAAGGGAACCTGTGGGAGGAGAAGATTGAGCATTTAATAGGCCGGCTTATACTAATTTACGAAATTTGAAGTATAGGAGGATATGGTACGGTGATTTTAGACAGAATAAACCACAAGTTTAGAGCAGTATGTATACATGTTTAGTATAGAGACGGACCTAACTTCCACATGTATACTATCTTTACAAGAAATAAAACATAAAGTGAGACGACGGAATAAAAAATATTACTAGTATATTATATGGATTAAGTAAATGCTATAGTGATTAGCATAGGATATAAATGTTGTATTGGTGAAGATCGAGGCATGAATTTATTAGGGTTCAAATGAGAGATCTTAATGACTCAAGTAAACATGAATTTAGGGTAGCTTGACTCGTTTTCATAGTAAGCTTAATAAGTAACAACTCAAGTTCGAGCTGATCGAACTCGAGTCATGATAAGCGCAAACAAAATAAGTTGATGGTTAGGGATAGCTTAATTGGTTAGAGCTTTCTTCCCAATTTTCAGACATCTTGGGATCAATTCTCATCACTTTGCTCTTGTGGCTCCCTAAAGAGTAAAGACCAAAAAAAAGAAAACAAAAAAAAAACAAACAAAATAAGTTACAATTCTAGGTTAATGACTGTTTGCTAATGTTTTGATATCCTACAAACTAGGGCTAGGTTTAGTTTTGCTCAACTCGCTTTCGAAGGCCTATTGTCAAGACGAAAATAGAATTGAGTTAACTTGCAAATACCCTTGGTTAACCAAGAGTGATGAGTATACGATATGAAGATCATGAGAATGGCAATTACCTGTTTGCGTGCCTTGGAGACAACTTTCTTTCCCTCTTGTTTCTTGTTGATGAAGCCCAAAAAATTAGATCTTTCATAGTATCCGTGCTTCAATAAAAAAAATAAAATCAAATCAGTCAAATTTGAAGAATTAGTACAAAAATTATGGTCAATATTGTTTAATTTTCAATTAGGATCATAATAACTTACTAGGTACAAAACATAAAGAAGTTAATAATTCACATGAATATTGTGTCAAAATATACACTCATACAATAAAAAACATTAAACTTTAACAAGTTCCAACAATCTATTAAGAAAATAAAATTAAAATTCATAACATAATTTATAAAGATTAAGAAATATAATAACAACCCTAACATAAAAACCTAGTGAAACTATCAATGATATATTTATCCAAGAAAGAAACTAGGAAGGTCATACTCACAATGATACTTCTCTCAACCACAACAGCTTGCTGCTGATGGGTCTTAGGGGAGTGAAGAATTTCTACCGATGACTCCGGTACACCTTGGGCCGTATCAGACGCATCTCCACCACTAGTTAAATTTTTAACTAAGGAACTCGGCAAAACAACACCGCGAAGGAAGACAATTTTTTTGATATCATGGTGAGGAAGACTGCTTATGAGTGTTTGTAACCCGGACACATGATATTCCGGTATACCGCGAAGGGTTTCGACTGTGTCATAAGCTTGCTGAGTCTTAGCCTTTTCTAATGATGCAAAATAGGCTAGGGCAGCCGACGAGATGGTTGATAATATCACTGACATTGTTCTTGTTTTGTGTTATTTTGTATGGAAAACAACGAAAAATGAAATATTAAGGAGGGTTTTGGAGGAAGGGAGAAGTGATGGTCAGTTTAGCTAACTTTTTAGTCAAGAAATTGAGAAAATATAGGAAATATAGTTGATAAGATATACGATTATATGTTTTCTTTATTATCTTTTTTAATTTTCACTCTTATTTATCCAAGATATAATTTTCATGGGATATAGTTAAATATATATATCCTAAGAGAGAACCCGACCCGACCCGACCCGACCCAATTGACCCAATTTTTCATAATTTGTAATGATTCAAGCAACTCAAACCACTCGAACCAAACAACCCTAAATTTGATCCGAACCCGACCTGTTGACCCGAATTGACAGATTTAGAGAAGACTAGAAATGTGAAAAATACAAATTCTTACATTTTCTATTAGAAAAACATTGATAACACACAACTCACAAGTCACAACTCACAACCTCTTATAATTAAAAACTCGTGATAGGTGAGAAGTGATGAGTTAGACAAAGGGAAATGGGGATGATACCATACACCAAAACATTAAGTAGTGGTGAATTGGTGATTGATGAAGCAAATAGTGCGGAAACAACCAATAATTTCATATGAATGTTGATTTATATATGGACATAATCACATAAATAAATTAATAAAGCATCAACCATAAAGTTAAAATCTTACAAGTATTCTCTGGCTCTCTGCTAATCATACTCTTATTGATATTAAGAAGAAAAAAAAAAGCATTAACCGTCTAATCTCTCATAATGAAAAAGTATGCTAAATAAGATTAGTAGAATAATACAAGTAGTATGGTAACTAAAATTGTCCCTTAATTATATACTCCGTACTTGGTATATGGTTGCTGTCAAGCATGCAAAATCCTCTGTTCACTTTGAATACTTGATGCCCTATATAACACAAAGTTGAACCAATAAAAATTAATAATCAATCATATACTTATATTACTCCATACTTCGTATAATATCTATATTATAACTACCAACATTTCACTTATGTTGTTTTTCTTTCGAGAATAACATATCCCGTGTAGAGGTACGGCTCTAGTTAATACGAAGTACAAAATCACACGGCATTAACCAACATAATATGAAATTAACATTATGAAACAGAGAGGAGTACTCATTCAAACTGTACTAATCTAGGTGACCAGGTCAGATCATACTAGATCAGAAATGATCGTATGTTATATTAACAGCTAAATTTGCCGAACATGCATGGTAATACATGAATGTATCCAACTATATGTAGAGCAGAGGTGGGGCTACAAATATTAACACTAAAAATGGCCCTGTGCGATCGACCACCCTGTACATGCTCATAACCACCACTGATGTAGAGTCATTAGAGAAGAAAATAATACCATAAGGTAATGCCTGCTATAAGAACACCAAGGGCGAAACCAGCTAATTCATCTGAGCAATAATCCGACCAGTCTGTTGCGTTCTCTAACTTAGCAGATAATTCTGCAACCAACTCCCTCTTGCTCTTGGTTGTACTACAGTACAAGATTGAAAATAAGCTGTTTTAATTTCATTACATATCTGGAAAAAAAAAAAAGAGAGTTGAAAATTTGCTTACAGAAAATAAGGAGTCCTTTATAAGGCTTAATATTTGGAACCCCATTTTCCAAGCTGAAGATGCCAACAGCAGTAATAACATTACCCACGGGAAGGATTTTTTCTTCAGTAATCTCATCAACTTGTAGCTTAAACCCCTCTAACACGCGACAATGCAATATATGTACGTACTGTCAGTGCGTGTATAAATGTATTATCAAATAATAATCAAGATTAAATTGTTTATTTTTGGTGTTTAGAGAGCCACAGGGGCAAATAGATGATGAGATCGAATTGATTCCATAGTTTCTTGAAATCGGGAGGGAAGCTCTAACCTCTTGAGCTATCCTCACTCTCCAAGATATTATATTGGAAGATTACAAATATACTTATTTAGATTAAATTAATGATGAAAAATAATTACTGTATATAACTTGGTACAACTACTTACATTATTGCCACTCTGAGTAAAAATTTCTTTCTTATCAGAAGAGACTTTTGGTAGAGGAATTTGATCAAGATCGGTATCCTCTAAGTTAATCACGACATATTTGCTGCATGGTATTGATGTTGTGTTCTTTGCAATGATGAAGGGAACCTGTGGGAGGAGAAGATTGAGCATTTTACAGGCCGGGTTATTTTAATTAACGAAATTTCAAGTATAGTAGAATATGGTGATTTTAGACATGCTAATATAGAGACAGACTTAACTTCCACATGTATACTATCTTTCAAAGAAACAAAACATAAAGTTAGACGATGGTATAACAAATATTGTGTTATATACTTATATGGATTAAATAAATGCTAAAGTAATCAACATAGGATACCAAAGTTGCATCGCTGAAGATCTAGGGTTCAAACGAGAGATCTTAATGACTCAAGTAAACATGAATTTAGGGTGGCTTGACTATCATAGTAAGCTTAATAAGTAACAACTTAATCAATAATAATCATGTGTCACACTCTGGTGCTGTTTTTTCCTTCCAAAACTCCCCTCCCCTTTTAGCAAAAAATATTTTATTTTTGGAATATTTTTATAATAAAGTTATAATAATATTATTCCAAACTTATATATTATCTCTATATAAAATGTATTTCTTTTTATTGTGTTCTAAAATTTTCCATGCACATTTACCTAAAATAATTTTCCAGCTCTTTTTTTAATTATCTTTTAAACGAGTATTATTGAGTTTTTACCGAAAAGTAATAATAAAATTGATTCATATCGAAGTAATTGATATTAAAGAAATTACTTTAAAACATCACTTTAATTTTTTTTTTCAAATTCCTTTTTATTTTGTTTATTAGACTTAGGAAAAATTGTGAGGAAGGTTCTTTTAAGTGGTCGACCTTGTGAGGAAGGTCCTTTTATAAAAAAAAAAAGGTGGCACAAAAGGTCCTTTTATGGCATTTGGGCTGTGAGAAGGGTCCTTTAACCAAACTCCGGCGTTGACCTCCGTTTTCCGGCCAAAAAAAGTCACGTGTTGTGCACGTCACCACTTAAACCAACTTTTTTTTTTTTTCCTTTTCTTTCCTCTTCATCTTCTTCTCCATGAATGGCATTTCTGGCCAGACCTCTGCCCACCACACCTCCACCTCCGGCAACAGGAACCCCATCCCTTTCCCCCGCCCTTTCTCCCTTTCAAATCATTCATTAAATGTTCCAATTGGCGCTCTATATGCATTTTCATTGTGGCTTTCAAATTCGGCTTACATCTATTTGAGTGTTTCATTCATTCATTCAAATGTTGAAGGCTTTGATGCCTGTTGGTGTGTATTCAATTGGAGTCATGTTTAAGAAGGAGAGCTTTCGAGGCGAAACGATGGCGAATATGATGTCGATTTCATTTGGGGTTGCAATTGCTGCTTATGGTGAGGCGAAATTTGATGCTTGGGGTGTAACCCTACAATTGGGGGCAGTTGCATTTGAAGCTACTAGATTGGTAATGATTCAAATCTTGTTAACAATCATCCCTTGTTGTTTGGTGTTTCTATCAATTCCTTGGATGATTGTAGAGTACCCAATTCTAAGGGATCCGTCGAATTTTCATCTAGATTGGTTTATATTTGGGACGAATTCTGTTAGTGCTTTTGCTTTGAATTTTGCTGTGTTCTTGCTTGTTGGGAAGACATCGGCTTTGACTATGAATGTTGCTGGGGTTGATAAAGATTGGTTGTTGATTGCGTTTTCGTGGTCTGTGATTAAGGATACTGTTACCCTTATCAATTTGTTTGGGTATGGGTTGGCATTTGTGGGTGTTGGGTTACGATCACTCTAAGTTGCAGGCATTGAAGGGAGGAAGAAGATGAAGAGGAAAGAAAAGAAAAAAAAAAGTTGATTTAAGTGGTCACGTGCACAGCACGTGACTTTTTTTGGCCGGAAAACAGAGGTCAACGCCGGAGTTTGGTCAAAGGACCCTCCTCACAACCCGAACGCCATAAAATGACCTTTTGTGCCACTTTTTTTATAAAAGGACCTTCCTCACAAGGTCGACCACTTAAAAGGACCCTCCTCACAACCCGAACGCCATAAAATGACCTTTTGTGCCACTTTTTTTATAAAAGGACCTTCCTCACAAGGTCGACCACTTAAAATGACCTTCCTCACAATTTTTCCTTAGATTTATGGATTATTAGATATGACCATAAAATAAAAGTTGTGTTCAACAACTATATTATATGTCTAATTCAAAAATGTAAAATATTAATCAATTTTTTGTTATTACATTATTAAAAAAAAGTTAATATCTTTTGCTGAAACACTTTATTGAGATAATAATTTTATCACATTCGACATTCATAAATAAGTTGCATTTTACAAAAATACGTCGGACATAGTGACAAGTGACATATTCTTGTGTTTCTTTTTTTTTTCTTTTTTTTTTTGGATAAATAACTATCATCGACAAATAAAATTTTAAGGCAATAAACAAACAATGATCAAACTAGAATTATTGGATAGCTTTCAAACACATTTTTATATAATACAAAGAGCAACGATATCACGTAGAGCATCAATCCATAAATAGAAAATGTACTACTAATAATATAGGTTAGTGTTGCCTAATTATTGATTGTTACTGCCTTTAATGATCTAAGTAGTATTTATTTCCATTGAATTTATTTTATTGGATATAAAGATGATATATTATTTAATTTGTAATTTATATATTTACATGTATGTTGTGCCAATAGTTTTACTGTAGATTTTAGTTTGTTGTTTGATTAATGTTTTGATGTTTATTAGAAGACATTTATAAATAAGTCTTTAGTCATATAGTCACTAGATTGTATAGTTTTATTGGGAATAATATGCATTATTAATGTAATATAATGTATTCCTTTAAATATTTTCAACTCAATTAATCAACAATAATTTTTTTTTTCTTTCTCAATTGTAGTTTTAATGAATTTTGCCTTATTATTTTATTTTTCTATATGCATTGCATTTGTTTATTCCACATGAGTTGCCTCATTTTTATATTATATCAAAATTCATTATGGGAAATTGAAGTTAATGATGCAAAATAGGGTTTAATATAAAAATAGGCTATTTTTATATTATAGCCTATTTTGCATAATGAATTTTGATAAACTTGCTGAGTCTTAGTCTTTCCTAGTGATGCAAAATAGGCTAGGGCAGCCGAGGAGATGGTTGATAATTGATAATGTCATAGACTCATAGCCATTATTGTTTTTGCTTTGTTTTTTTTGGTATTGGAAGACAACTGAATATGAAAGGAG